GGCTAAATTTGTGTTAAAATTGTACTTACTTTTTACAAAACTTAAGTAAAAATACACTGAACTATATTTTCTATACCATAACAGAAGTTGAACTTGGGTTTTATCTATAGATCATTCTGTTGCTGGCCACAAGTGGTCAGCTTTATGAATGAATTTATCAAACCTAAAAAGATTGAATCAAAGTTTTGTGTTGTATGGGTATTGGCTAAAAATAATAGGTTCATATATATAAAAATTCAATCCATTAACCTGAATTTTAATTAAAATCAAACAATCTGCCAGATCATAGGCTTTATTAAGGCTAATTTTAATCATCAAACGTAAAGTAATTTGTTAATTAATAAACTGAAACTTTTCAATAAACACTGGCATGCACAAAAAAACATCTTTCTTACTTATTGTCACAAAGTTTATTATGAATTGTAAGCATTTTTGGCTGCATTTAGTGGCCATCTTGAAGTAAAAGGCTGTTCCATCTATCAAACAGTCAAAATTTGAAAAGATTTTTTGAATATTTGATATATGGAACAGCTTTTTACTTGAATAAGCCTCTAAATGTGGCCAAAAATGTTTGTAATTTAGAATAAACATTGCTGGAATAAGTAAAGAAGGTGTTTTTTATGAGTGTCAGTGTTTAAAGAAATTTGACTAGAGGTATGTGGTTAAACTCCCATCTTGTGATAAATTTATTAATTATAAATAAATTTATTTTTAATTTTAATTTATAAAGTTTTGGAATAAAAGAATTGGCCACACATCTAGTCAAAATACTTTATAAGAAATTTTTAAAATTATCCTTACCATAGCCTGATAACCTAGTAAATCATTTGGCCATAAATTAAGTTCACATGTTAAATATAATATATAATAAGAACTCATTTATATTCGCATTAAATAAACAGTAATATATTTTTAAATAATAATTTATATGTAATGATAAAAATTTCAAAGTTCTTTTCCAAATTCTAGTGGGTGTTGTGGATTGTGGAACTTCCAGATAACCAGTGATAGAAGAATCTGACATTTAAGTTTGTACATATTAGCACACACATAAACAGAACAAAATGGGATTAAATGAACCTCATATAGTATCAATGCACTTTTTGGAAAACTATAACATCTTTTTACTTTCCTGGCTGTTATATATAACAGAGGGAAAGTATTGTGATCAGTCAAAAAATGACCTCCCCAGGATTTTTACATTTTTGGACTCAGGACACCTTGAAATTTTGAGAAATGTGAAATAATTCAGGGGTAATTTCTGTATGTACAGATGTTTGTGTTTGTGTTTTGTTCAACCTGTTTGAAGCATAATAACTCCTGTGCTTTTTATTGAAAATTTCTGAAATTTTGCAGGGATTTTTGTTTATTAGGGGGATTGTTGTTAAATTTTGGTGGTTAGAGGTTAAGGGAGTCGTGGTTATCTCCAGTAGGGTTGGACTTAATGACGATTTTGCTCATTATTAGCACTTACAAGTTTTTATAAAATCCATCCTTACTTTGAAAATTAAGCTCTTTGCCATTTTATAATAGTTAAAAATATAAAAAGGTTTTTTAATAAAATATGATAACAGATGGTGCCACCAAATGTTACCGGAAAAGTTTAGCAACTTGTTGCTGAATTTTTTCTTGTTTTATTTCTCTCTTAACTTTTTAACTCTTCCACAGTGCTTTTTACATTAGAAAATTTTAAAAAATTATTCCTAATTAATAGAAACATTATTATTAATACTATATATTAAAAAAAAAAAACAAAAAAGTATAGTATATTTTGTTTTAATGAAATAAATGGAATTCTGTGATTTGCTATGATGTGAATTCTATGCTTGTCTGCAGGTATAAACTTGTCTACTCTGATTTATTAACATTAAACTAAATACTTAATTACCAGATAGATTATCTTTAAAAAAATTATATA